AAAATTACGATAACTTTAGTTTACGTATTTATACGTTACCCGCATTCTACCACTAGTCTATAAAAAACGTATTAATACGTGTCCCGCGCTCTACTATACTGGTAGAACATATAAATATGTAAAACGTATAAATACGTTTCCTGCATACAATGTGTTATTAGACAGGATGTTTTACAGAGTTTAAAAGTCAGGGCTGTTCAAAAATGTTTCAGGCAGGAACAGAGAAACAAAGTTATAAATTTACTATCCTATATAATAAAAGGCTAATATGCAAATCAACTGAACAGTGGAATGACTGGTAACTATGACGCGCACTGACCACTAGGTGGCAGACGATCAATGCAGGAGCTGCCCCCTGGTGGTCAGTGCGCTCCCACAGGGGAGCATTGCTCAGCCAGAAGCAGGGCTCATAGCTGGCGAGTGCAGCAGTGGTGGTGGGAGCCTCTCCTGCCTCCACAGCAGCACTAAGGGTGTCCGACTGACAGCTTGGGCCCACTTCCCATGGGGAACGGGCCTGTCAGTTGGACATCTCCTGAGGGCTCCCGGCCTGCAAGAGGGCGCAGGAGGGACCGCTCCTGAGGGCACGAATTTCGTGCACCAGGCTTCTAGTCTATATATGTAAAAGGCTAATATGTTAAGTGTCTGTCCATCTGGGTAATGACGCCACGTAGCAACACCCAGCTTCCTCTCCCTAGTGACGACTAGCCTCCTTGCAGTTTCTTCAGCCCAGGAACATGACTTGCTTTATAGCCAGGTGGAAACATTTCACACTTGAACCAAATGTCTGTGAAGTGTTTTCCTGTGCCTCATCTCATTTCATCCTCACAGAAGTCCTGGAGTAGGTAGATAGGAGACTCGGTAGAATCCTATATTCTTTTCATTAGCCAGAAAATGGAGATTTAGAAAGTTTAGAAACTTGACCCGACTGAAAAGAAGTAAGACATGGTGGACCTTGAAAATGACTTCAGGTTTTCTCACTGTGAAGAATATAGTCAGAGCGCTGCAGTTAAATATTTTACCATTTGTTCTCCCTGCATGATCTACAATAATAATCTACTTTGTGTTGATATTCACTGTTGTGTTGCTGACAATTACCTGAAAGAGAAGCTTCACTGGGCTGGAAAAAGTTTAGCTAAATCAGAAAGCAGGTCTAATTAAGCAAGTTTATTCTATATCTATAAAAGGCTAAGTTGAGTCACGCATGCACGATACATATAAAGCTCTTACTGGCGCCAATCACACAGGTAAGTTTCGATCTGTTGTCTGTCGTGAATTTGGTTGACACTCCTATTATACAGAAAGGGCGAACAGCAATATTAAAATATTTCTTCTAATTAATTTCCTTTCAATGTGCACAAATTTGTGCCCTGGGCCACTAGTTATTAATGAAAGAAAAGCATGCCCTTCTTGAAAATGACAACTGTAGGGAAGAGGACAGCAAAGTTAGACAAATGGAGAGCAGAGGACACACACAGAAGTAGGG